GAGGATGAGGAGCAGCAGCCCACCGAGATCGAGTCGCTGTGCATGAACTGTTACCGCAACGTGAGGCGGAGGGCGCGGCGCGGGCGGCGGGAGGGTGGGGCTTGGGCGGAGAAGGCCGGGATCGCACAGCTGGAGACAGTCGGGCGGGGAACGAGGATTTCATTGATTCTTTTCTTTCCTGCTTTCTACTTTCCCAGGGTATGACGCGTCTCCTGCTCACCAAGATCCCCTTCTTCAGAGAAATAATCGTGAGCTCCTTTTCCTGCGAACACTGTGGCTGGAGCAACACGGAGATCCAGTCGGCAGGCAGGATCCAGGACCAAGGAGTGCGCTACACTTTGACTGTCAGGGCCATGGAGGTGAGAGGAAGTTCAGAGCAGGCACCCCAGTATCTTAGAGCCTGGGGACTGGAGTCAGAGCTCTGGCCCAGGTAGTTGGACCTTCCATAAAGGTCCCCTGTTGCCCAGCCTTAGTTTCTTTTGTGAAATGGTGTTGGTGCTGTCATCTGCTCAAGTGAGATAACATTTGTGAAAATGCTTTGTAAATTCTGTCGGAGAGTATGATATTAGTAGTAGTTGCTATGAATAGTATTCTCACCATTTGGACAGCCTGACTTACATCATCCGTACTATTCAGAAGGAGTAGTCTGGACCCTCTGGAGTGGAGAGAGGGGGAAACAGCCGGGCTGGGGTCTGATGGAGAGGGGCAGTCTGGTTATTTCCTGAGGAGAAGCAGGACTGCTGACCTCTTTTGACTGAACGTTTTCCCTTCTGCCCAGGACATGAACAGAGAAGTGGTGAAAACTGACTCTGCCACCGCAAGAATCCCTGAGCTGGATTTTGAAATTCCTGCCTTCAGCCAGAAGGGAGGTAAGTTTAAGGTCAGGGTGAACCCTAAGTGGGCTATTCACACATAGCTGAAATCTCATCTACTTTCTTGCAAACCCCCTGATGCCAGATCTGATGGCTTATGTGTGATTAGCTGTGTAATCATTGTGATCTTTGTTGGTTTATCAAGATTGCAAAACTTAGGTAAAACAGCTTGAGAGAGTAATAGTAGGGCTGTACTGTGTTTATTACAGTATTTTGGCATCACTATTATCAGAGATGAATAGAACCTTGTACCTGGCCTCTTCATTTAACAAATGAAGAAATTAAGACCCAGAGAGTTCAAGTGAGTTGCCCAAGGTCATACCTATACTTGAGAGCAGAGTTAAGACTCACTTGTCTTTTGTTCTTGTTCATAAGCTCTGACCACTGTTGAAGGATTGATCAGCCGTGCTATCTCTGGCCTGGAGCAGGACCAGCCCACACGACGGGTGAGCTGGGGTTTTCTGATTGCACAGCTCAAGGAATAATTATTTGTATCTGAATAGAGTGTTCAGCTTGTCATGTCTGAACTGCCTTTGACTAAATTTTGGAAGCTTTTTTGGGAAGCATATGGAGGTGCTGTAGCTGCCAGGATATTGCATATGTTGTACTTATTGTCCTTTCCACTTTCCTCCCCAATGTATATTTAGGCCTTATCTCAAACAGTGGAACATTTACTGTTATTTTTCTGGTCTGGTATGAGTGCCTGGGCTGAATGGTTGAATGAGTGAGAAAATGAGGCTCACCTGTCACCACCCATCAACTTCAGACTTGTTTGCAACGTCTTGTTGTGAAGTCTGAGTCACTCTGTTCCCTCTCACACTGAGACAGGTGGCAACTTCATAGGTGACATGGAAATGACAAGGGTGAGGCATAATATCTACCACCAGGGCTGATGCCTTTTCTCTCTCCATGGCAGGCGAACAAAGATGCCACAGCTGAAAGAATTGATCAGTTCATTGCCAAACTGAAGGGGCTAAAGCAAGTGGCTTCCCCTTTCACTCTGGTGAGTGTTGAGGGACTGGAGTTGGCCCTCAACTGGGGGAGGAGAGATGATTAAGACTGTCTGGGATTTTTCCACTGTGGGGCCTGAGTGGTCTGATGGTAGGTGGAGGATTGTATATGATTTCCTGTTGTAATGACTCTTTCTTCACCCATCTGTTAGATCATTGATGATCCCTCAGGGAACAGCTTTGTGGAAAACCCACATGCTCCTCAGAAAGATGATGCTCTGGTGATCACACACTATAATCGGACCCTACAGCAGGAAGACATGCTGGGGCTTCAAGTAAGTGGACTGAAGAAGCCAGAGTGCTCTGAAATTATCTTGCATTCTAGATCACACAGTGAGAACCTGTTTTGCTGCAGATGCCCTGTGTATCCTGTCTCAGTTTGTTTGTGCCTCTCGTCTAGCTTATGCCAAGGACTGGCAGTGGCTGTGATCTTTTCTTGAGCCCTGTTCTTCCCTTGATTGGACCTTTGCCTCTCTGTCCAACCCATAAGGTGGCACCTGATATAAGTGAACCAGAGCATTTTATCCCACTCCAGGGCAGGGTCTTGGGGATGCTGAGGAATGCCTGCCAACTTGTGATTTGCATCTCTGCTATTTTAGGCAGAAGCACCAGCAGAGAAGCCAGAAGAGGAAGATCTCAAAAATGAAGTGAGTCACATTGGCTACTGTTGAGGAAGGAGCA